TTTTTTTTTTTTTTTTCGCTTACATTGACTAGCCATCAATTCCTTGTTGAGACCGTAAGAATCTAACTTATTCATTTAATTCCATCTTTTTTTAGAAAATAATCAATTTTTACTGAATTTGGTAAATAACAACAGATCTGTGGTTTATGAAATCTATAAATCCATCAGACCAGTGCTGATGAAAATATAAGTTCAAGAAACAGAACGGTAAAAGGAAAAATACCAGCAATAATAAAAAAGTTCTTTTAAAATTTATTAAATGACATCACTGTACCAAAGTGAAGAAAACTGTTGTGCCAAAAAAAAAGATGCTTTTTTGAATAGAAATATTAGTAGGTTAACAAGAAAAACAATCACTTTGCAGCAGTCACTGCCAATAGCAGTGATCACGAACCCTCGGAATTTGACAGTAATAACATAAGCAAAATATTTTGTTCTGGTTTTTACTGTTGTTGTCGCCGTTAATCATTTTCTGCTCTTTGCCGTGCTATCACTAAGAAGCCTTTTGTTTTTAGACGTTATTTTAAAAGAATTTGATCTTTGACTAAAACGTTTACCATTCAAAGGTTAACAGGCGATACGGTGTAAACGAACTTGCACAGAATGCCCATTTTAACAGACTAATGAGCAACTCAAAATGTAGGGATCCTCTTCCTACTATTAAATTGTTAAAAAAATGAGTGCACGAACTTTCACTTGTTTTCTCCTTAATATTTTTTTTTATTTATTGCATAACAGATAACAGAAACCTAAGCGTTGGACAGCTGAAGTACGAAGCCCAGCTAAATTCATGTAGTTTTTGAAACCAAAATTATTGACACATTCTCAAAGGTTTTTAACTGGTCATCTGCGCTGGACAGATTGTTACTTCAGACAGTGTAAGAATAACTTAAACACTTTCTTTACTAGTAAATTTCAATGTTATTGAAAACTTAAGGTTCTTCTTACGCTGGTGACTAAATACTGGTGCTAAGCTACTTTTTTAGTGAGAAAACTGAAAGATATTATGACCAAATAAACCAAAAAAGGTATCATACAAATTTCATAAAAAAGCAACTTATAAATTCTTCTTTTCCAAAAGACCTTCATTCTCATACATTTTCACTGTTCTTTTCAGTGAGTAGTACGAGAATATAACTATAAAGCAAATTGCTTTAACCTTCATATTTCTTAATGAGCCCAAGTTCATAAATATTTGTTAGGTTTATGCCAAAAATCTTTGAAGCACACCTAGAAGTTTATAAATTCATAATCTTTTTAAAAATTTCCGGATGTTGTGACATAGTCGAGAATCTCCCTTTCGAATCGAGCTCTTGTTTTTTTGAGATTCAGATCCTATACCTAATACCACTCACAGATCAAAAAAATTTTCAGCCATTAACTTTAAAAACACTTGTGATTTGGCGTAAGTGTTAAATGTAATTAATTTGAAAGTAACATCAATTCACAGCACAAAATTCAAGTAAAAAAGAGACCAAAATTTTATCTTTTTTTTCTCATTCAAAATAGCAAAGTTATCAAAAATGTAATAATTTTAACAAGTTAAAAAAACTGTAGGCAAACAATAAGACTGAACACGAAGACATTGTCAGGTCCAGTTTAGAGTGCAATATTTTTGTGCTTCTCGACTGTTTTGGTATGTCCGAATTGATGCTTTTATTCTGCCTCTTTTTGAAACTTTTTTTAAATAACATTAGCTTTATTCATTTCTAGTCCTATGAAAAGCTGATTTTTTATTGCAATCAATACATTGGTCAATTAAACTGTCTGATATAAACCAAGTGAAAATAAATAAATAAATACCATAAATGCCCGAAAAAAAGAATTGAAAGAAGACACCAACGTGAAAAAGGAAGAAACATGTGAAGCAGTCCGATAATGTAGCACACAGTAAAATTGAACATATTTTATATGTAGCTTGCGCAACCGACGAACATGAGTCTCACTTCGGTGTCTGGCTGTCAGTGCTTTAAAAACAACTAATTTCACCGCTAATAAATTTTATTACTGACAAACAACTCATACAGATCCGTTTTTGTATACAGTAC